CTCCCTCCCTCCCTCCCTCCCTTTCTCAAGGTGCCCTTGTCAGGCATTTTGTTACAGCAACAACACAGGTAAGGCGTGGAGGAGGAGAAGCCGTGGCGATCTCAGACATGCTCTGGGTCATTTGTCATTTCGCTTACTTCATCCACACTGATCTGAACAAATGGCCACTATAGCACACTTTTGGTGTCCTCTCCCAAACCCGTGTCAACAAATCTGGGCCAGAAGAAAGTTTTCCAAGTATTTAAGCTTTGCGTGCCTTTTGGTTTTAAATTCTGCCTTTAACTAATGATTCCTCTTTTTGAACACTTTTACCATGAGCAGTCATGTGGCACCCTCAGTTTTCTACTTGAAAATCTCTTCCTGTGTTTCTAAATTCCTCCTACCATGAACACTGGGACAGTGTTCAGTCAAGTCCTTTGTCACTCACAGGAAAGCTGGCTTTTCTTCCTGTTTCTAATGTCCAGTTCTTCCTCTTGATCTGAGCCCTTGTCAGAACTGCCTTTACTATGCAAACGTCGACAACGTTCTAGTCCAGTCATGGACACTTGGATGAGCTCTGAGAAGACAAAGCCTTTCTATATGCGCTCTCTGTGGCTCTACTCATCTGAGCCTCACTGAAACTGCACTGCCGGGTTCAGCATCTGCCACTAGGGACACTTGACAGTGTGGTGCTGCCTTCTGTACCTTCACATGGCATAAGAGGAAAAGTAACAAGGCATTCCCTGACACACCTTTAGGAGAGAACTAATCCCATGCACAAGAGTAGGGCTTTTCTGACTCCATCACTTCAGAGTGTTACTATCCAACAAATGGAGTTGGAGGGAGGTGGTCATATGTATTTAGAGTTTTCAAAGTTATACAACAATTCCGAGAATAATTTCCCCGGACAACAGCTAATACAGTTTAGGAGACAATGGCACCCGATAAAATTGAAATATGAATATAAGACGGATATACTTTAAAAACTGAAATAAATGTGAGAGAGCTACAAAATTCTTAGAAAAGTATTTCTTAAAATGATAGTTCATGAAACACTACTGCAAATAAGAAAAAGGAAGAGTCCTTTACTCAAATGGAAGTTTTTAAAAAAAACTTCATGGATGTTTGTGTTCATGTGTGTGAATGCATGTGCACACATGCCATGGTGTGTTTGGAGGTCAGAGGGTAGCCTTGGGTGTTTGTCCTCACCTTCCACTTTGTCTGAGACAGGGACAGGGGCTCTCTTGTTTGTCACTGTGAACTTCAGGCTAGCTGGCTTGCAAACTCTTGGACATTCTCTCTCTGCCTGGAAAAACAGTGCTACTCCATCTGGCTTTACATGGTTCTAAGTTCCTCATGTGTTTAGGGCAAACACTTTCCTACTGAGCTATTCCTCCAACTCCAAATAAAACAGATAAAAATGTAAGTGTTGTGTACTATTGGGAGCATGAGGGACTGTAGGAAGCGAATGGCAGAGTTAGCACTCATTCATGCCATCAAACGTAAGTCTTGGTAATTTATGCTCTAAACTATGTGTTCTGAGGAAGACTTAGCTATAAAGCCACAAATAAATCATCAAACACTTCATGACTCTTATTTAAAATGTATTTAAAAACATACTACATACCTTTCAGTGTCTTTGGATCTCTGCTTTCTGATTCTAGGTCTTCATCTATGAAGATTCCATTCACATTTTCATCTACCCAAATGAAAAACAAAAACTTCTTAATGAATGAAACATAGTAACACTGAGGCTTACCAATTATGGTCTAATCTTAAAATGACTACAGTGTCTGAAAGTTAGGCACAGTTTTGCACATCCTTCAGGTAAGAAGAAAAATGTTATCTCCTTAAATGTCAGCAGTTAATTTGACAGATATGGAATCATTCTTGCTAAAACTGAACAGTTAGGATTGTAAGTTTGCTCCTAGACATTTATTCCTGTCTGATAGTATTGTTTCTATTTTAACCCAACAGCTGTCTGTCACCTTGACTTGTATAAGCGATTCTTGTTCAAATGGTGAATTCACAAACATTTAAATGATTTTCTTACAGTTACCTACTTCTGGTAAAGTTAGTAGCATGAGGAAGAAACACATTGAAGTAGAAAGTAGGATGGCATTAATGCTAATAATATATATGACTATATAGTTTGTCAGAAAAGATAGATTTTATATGTGTATGTATGTGTATATATGTGATGTGTGTGTGTGCATGTTCATATGTGGGTGAGTGCCCGAATGTGTGTAGAGCAGAGGTCAGTGCTGAGTGTCTTCCTCAATCACTGTTCAACTTATTTTTGCACTGAATCTGGAGCTCACTGATTCTGCTAGACCTGGGTAAGAGAACCTCAAGGGTCTTCTTGTCTTTGTTTTCCCAGCACTGATATTATAAAAATATTCTATTACACCCAGCTTTTTATATGAATTCTGAGGATTAGATTGGGTCCTAATGCTTTTGTATAAAGTTCTGTCCTGGTTAAGTTACCTTCCCAGGATTCTCATAAAGATTTTTTTTTTATGATAAAAATAGATCTAAGATAATATTCACAGGTCAAAGGAATGACATATTTTCAATATCACTGACATATACAGGTAGATTTTTAAAATAAAATTGAAAAGTGTTTTTATACAGCCACCTTCCCCCAGATGATTAATCACAACCCAGGACGTGTGTCCAGCTCTGAGATCTAGTTCCTTATCTCCTTCTCGGTAGCTACTTTCCTTTGTCATCATATACACGTATTAAACTGAGAAAACATGGGTCAGGAGAGCTGGTCCAGCCCAGGATTAAGATGCTCTGAAGGGACTTGCAACTGACTGTTTCCTTTTCTACCAGGTTGGTAAGAAGGCAGCAATGATTCTTGAGAGAGATTCTGTGGCTATACCATTATGCTGGAGTGAGCAAAACCAAATTGGCACCACTCTGTCTCCAAACTCTGGGATCATCCCCATCTCCACTGACCAGGCAGACAATGACATCCACAACTCCATGTATATAAAAAGCAAGCTGAACCTGACATGTGCATGAAGGGCAAGCAGCTGAGGTCCTGGTGTGATGACGGAACACAGCCACTGACCCTGAGTCTCTGACAATGAGAGTGGCGCACAGAAGGCATGATTATATGGCATTCCAGAGAGAAGGCAGTGGTGTCCAGAGTCCAGGGAGAAAGCACGTAAGGAGGCAGTCGCTGAGGACTGGGAAGCTCCAACAGAGGGCTCTACTCTCGTGCGGGACTAACATAGCAAAGCAGACATTCTGACTGCAACTTGTTTGGACACATCAGCATTGCATCAGACCACTCAGCAGTGCCCCCAAACACTGCAAAGAATACATGAGATATTTCAATACCTGGAAGGGAGCGACCGTGAATCAAGGTTGCTGTATAGTTGAGGGAGTGATAGGAACCTTTCTGTTAAACAAGCACAAAAAAAGGCAGTTCATGACCACCACGCTAGCATAGCAGAAGCTACTTCTAGGAGCCTTAATACAGAGGAAGAGAATCTCCAATATGAGGACACAGGAAAGAATAAATTACATGAGAGAAATGGGTCAATAAAAGAAAACTAGGAAGTAGTCCATCGTGGCTAACACAGTAAACTAGGAAAGCCCTGATACTAATGGGGGAGAGAGGAAAGCATGAACAACAATCTAACTATTCAGGAAAACAGCCAACAGAACTACAGGAATTAATAAATACCTCTAAATTATAACCTGCATTGCAGATGGCATATGAATAAAGAGATGCACACTAGCTAATGGGATTGAAAAACAAGAACCAAATCTCTGTTGTCTCCAGGAAATATTTCTCATTGGGCAAAGATGCCTACAGATTACAGTCAAATGGTAGAAATTTAAATGAGAGCTGGAAACAAGCTGGTGTAGCTTTTCTGGAATTGGTATCTGGTAGGTATGCAGATATCATCTTGTAGGTATGGAGGTGTCTTGTAGAAAGGTATTTATGTCCTCTACGTTTTTTAACTATAAATTCTCAGATATTCCCTAATGCCCCCTGGATATTGTAGACTTAAATCTAATAATGTAGACTTAAAAACTAAAGTTAGAAGAAATGAAGTAGTCCATTATATATGAATAAAGGCAGTGAGACACCAAAAAGACATGAGAAGTATAAATATGCATCAAACACTTGGGACCTCAATTTCATAAAAAGGAAAAAAAATGCTAGTGGGCATAATACTTCAGAGAGATTGTAAGACAATAATAGTGGGTAGGGGTAGCTTTCATCTATTGCTAGGTAGTACAAAGTAAAAACTAACAAGGAAACTTCAGTGTTAAATTACACCTGTAATCAAGATCAGTGTCTGTTTAACAGACATCCTAAGGAATATTTGACACAACAGATACAAAATACATATTCTTCTTAGTAGCTCTTGGAACTTTCTCTAAAATCGATCATGTTCTCAGCCACAAAGACCCTTACAAATGAGAACAGAAATATTTTATTGTATCTTTTCAGATTATAGTAGAATAAAAGTATAAATCAACAGCAAGACAAACCATTGAGACCACACAAACTGAAGACTGAACAATACATGTTGAATGGGGAGTGAATCACTGAAGACATTGGGGAGGAAATTTAACAATTCCTAGAATCAGATGAAAATGAAAGCACAGCTTTTGGGAACCTCTGGGCTACAGGAAAGGCAGGCACAAGAGGGAAATGTAGCTATGAATGAGCACGTTAGAGGATCAGATCTACAGTGAGTGACAGCGTACTTCAAGGTCTTAGTCAAACAATAACACAAGCCCCAACCAGCAACAAAAATCAAAACAGAAATTAATAAAACTGAGGCTAAAAGAATAATACACAGAATCAATGAAACATCTGGTTCTTTGGAAAAAAAATATTGACAAACATCTAGTCAAACTATTAAAAAAAAGGAGATAAAAGACCCAAATTAACAAAATTGGAGATGGAAAGAGGCCATTACAACAGATTCAAACACTATCCAGAGGAGCATTAGGAAATATTTGAGAAAATATATTAAAAAAAACTGGGACCCTAGAGGAAATAAACACATTACTATATACCTATGAGATACCAACTAAACAAAGAGGATATGAAAGACTTAAAATTGACCCACAACAGGCAATATAAATGAAGCAGTAACAAAATCTTTCAGCTAAAACTGGCTCCGGATTGGATGAATTCTACCATATCTTTAAAAGGAAGCTAATATCAAGGTTCCTCCAGTTTTTCCAAAAAACACAAAGTGAATAAACATACCCTAACTTATTCTTTGAAGTCAGCATTACCCTGGTGTCCAAGTCAGACAAGAACACAACAAAAACTGAACATCTTACAATAATCTTCATCATAAACATGGATGTGAAACCTAGGATTTTCTAGAAAATATTAAAAGTCATTTCTTTATTGTATCAGGTTCTAATGGCATAAAATCAGAAATGAATAGCAATAGAAACTGTAGAAACTATATTAACATATCTAAATTATTAAATATACTCTTGAATAGTGTGTCATTAAAAATGTCAAGGAGGAAATGCACAGATTCTTAGGATCAAATAAATCTATAAGGAAAAAATTACAGATCTTTTGAAATATAGTAATAGCAGTTCTAAGAATAACATTGACAATTGTGAGTGATCACATTAACAAAACTGAAGTTGAAATAAATGAGTTAATGATGCACATTAAGATAATAGAAAAATAAGTAAAATACAAGTGCAATACACAGAAACAATAATGTCAGCATAGAAATGAATGAAATTGAACACTAAAGGACAATATGAAAATCACTTAAGCAAAAGTTGTTTTTTGTTTTTTTTTTTGAAAAAGTAAGCCAGATGGACAGAACTTTTCTCACACTAACCAAAAGAAAACAGAAAAGATAGACAGAAAACAAAATGGTAAATTAAGAAGAAAAGTGGGACCTCAAAAGAAATGCCAATGAGATCCAGGGGACTGTCAGGAAACATTTTCAAAACTTGTATTTTAAGAAAATAAAATCTTAAAGTAAGTAAAGGATAAATACCGAGACACATATGCATGACCAAAGTCAGTACTAGGTGTTAACAAACAGATCTGTAATGAGCTACAAGACTGGCCGAGGAAAGAAAATACCCCAACAAAGAGCCCAAGACCAGGCAGTTTCAGTGCTAAATTCTTAGACAATTCCATACAGTACGTTTTCATCACGTTCCTTCCCACCTTCCAATTCTCTCAGATCCTCCCCCACCCTTACCCACCCAACTTCATGTTCTTTCTCTTTCTTCAAAAAGAAAGAAAGAAAAAAACTATTTAAAACCAAACATGGAGTCCGATATATGTTGGCCAATTACTATTGAGTATGAAACCTGCTCAGGTTGGTATACCTAGTATCATTCCATTGAACAAACTGTGTTTCCCTTCCCCATTAGCTATCATTATTGACTAGCCTCTTGGCTAGTGGTGGAACTTTGTGTCTGATTCACTTCCTTCATGCCTGGATTCTGTCTGGCTTGAACTTGTGCAGGTCATGGGCATTGTTGGCACAGTCTCTGTGGGTTCATGTGTGTGGCTGTCCTGTTGTGTAAAATCATCCACCACCTCTGACTCTTACAATCTTTCTGCCCCTTCTTCCACATTGATCCCTGAGCCTTGAGGGGAAGGGTGCAATAAAGAGGATGCAAAGAGTCTTAATAAAATGCTTGTAAAGCAAATTCAGCCATACAGCATTT